TCTATATCCACTGCCTTTTCCACCTTTTTGTTGAAATTAATTAACTACTTGATAAAAAATGTCACAAATTAAAATTAACACAGTAAATAGTAATACTCGGATTTATTCCTGGCAATTTATGAATTCAAGTGAAAAGAGACTAATTGTAAGTTTTAATCAAAGGAATCATCCGGGGTATTGCATTAACATTATGATTCGAGCTAATAACAGCGTTGCAATGATCGCGAAGTACCAAACGAATAGGACAGAGGCAGTAACAAACACAACAGTTAGCAATTATTTGCTTCTCGATTCACTAATTAACCGCCGGTTGGACGTTTCAGGTATACGGACAAATTACATTGACTTTTCGCTACGGAAGGGAGGACGAGGAGGTAATGGGACTGAAATTCTGCAACGAGGCGGTTATGTGTCTCGCGCAGCTATATCCGCCAGTCGGTGGAGCCGATCAACAGGAAACGACGCCGTTGCAGGTTTGTGTACAACGATAATTAAATCTGTTTTAAAACAGTTATAACAGTGTACTTCGATTTACATCTATCTACATATATTAATCAATAAGCAATTCAAAAATTAAATATTCTACACTTGCATTATCTCAACTGAATTTTCTTTTAACAGCATGCGCTATTATTTGCATATTTTAATTGCTTACATTACTTGGCTGTCATTATGATCCATAAGTCTTTAACTCAATTAAGTTTCCCATCTACATGCTTCTGAGATCGAGAACTTATCTAGACGGGTAACGCCCCAGCGGAGGAAATTAAACGTAAGAGTGTTCATAAACTCGTGAAATTTTGTCTCGTCAACGCGATATACAACGTGTCCGGGCTTACGATCAATGAAAATTTAATAAAGACCTCGATCCCCTGTACACATCCCCGCGACCCTCTGTTCTGACACAGCTGGAATTGTTTTCATAACCAACCATTAAATACCAGTAAATTGAAATGCAGTTTAACATTTTCGGAGTTTGCCCAACATCGGCGAGCATTTACTCAGACACGTCAATAATTTTAATTAAAATAAATCTTTATCTATAGGAAAGATTATTACGTCTAGTATTCGAGTATTATTGAAATTGTACTGCAGGAATACATTTTCATTTAAAATTAATTCTAATAATGAGAAATAGCCAGTAAGGTAGATGTTTTGATGAAATCTCTTTTGTCTTTGTACACTTTTAATGCTAACGGTAAATAAAGAGAACGTATCGGTTCGAGTTCATTTCACAAGCGATTAAACATCGAACAATGAGAGAAAGAATGCGAACGACGCATACGGCTCGAAACCTTGAGATTGATAAGTAATCATTAATGCAAACGGGATATAGAGACATAGGATAATATACCTGAATTTCTTAGTCAATCAATTAAGCGAAATATTATTCCAAGTAACGGCAGGGTAATTTTGCAGTCAGTTAATAGAACAAGTGGACTTAGCAATTTTCCATAATTAGAAAAATTACAATGTAATACGAAAAGGCACTTGGTAAATTCTTTAGAGCGAGTTTAACGTTCGCATTTCATGAGATAATCTCAAGATATAGGCACTGTTTGCCTCTGGAAATTTTAAGCTCGAATTGTGCTTTCATCGTGCAAATTTCGAGGAAATAGAACTAAGCCAATCCTGTAATCCGTTGCCTAAATC